TTTCTCTTTGTTGAAATTATTTCATCTCTGACATTAGATAATATTTCTCCTATAATCATTACAAAAAGGTTAACTTTTTATGCTGGGTCTCACATCGTAGTGAACAAACTAAATAATCAAGTAAATTTCATAGAGATCAGCAATAAAAACCCTAGAAAACAAAGCAACATATAAACAGACAAATTCCCAGCATATTTTGAGAAACACATTTGTCTGTATGCCTGATCCACTTTCTTATTCCACAGTCAAACTGATCCATCATGGTTCTCTTGACATTTCTGGAACTGGGGAAAATCTACAAAGATGGATGGCAGTTAGAGGAAGAACAAAACAACTTACCCAAAGGCATACACTGCAATGTTCTGTAATATATATTTCTTTTTTAAGAAAAATAAATTTAGATTGAAGAAAAATTGGCAAGGCGTTAACTCTTAAACAACCCATGGAAAATTGCCTTATAGATAGATGTCTGCATGGAGGCTTAGGTTTTACTTTAATCAGTTTCCAATTCTTAAAATTTAAGCTTTTAAATGCATCTAAATTTTTGTGTGTGCAAACAACGTATGAGTGCCAGTCTGAGTAATAATTAGCAATCCACAGCCAACATATCTTCATTCATTAATAAACTGTCTCTGTGAACTTCGGTGTAGGGATTTAATGGCCTCACGGTAATGCTTTTGACCAGCTTAGGAGGTGATTGCAAAGGCATGTGTCTAGGCAGGCCTTTTAACCTGAGCATATGGTTCCATATCTACAATGCTGTTTCTCCAATGTGCTTGTCAGACAACAAAGATAAAAACATTGCTCTTGAGTGGTATTGTTGTAATCTTGCACAGGGGCACTGAACTTATGAACTATTGCCCATTGATAGATACAACGTATCACTCAAGATCAGAAAGAACAAATGAAATGATTTCAGGACTAAATCCACAAATAAGTTACTAACTGGAAGAGGGATGAGCACTGTAGTAAAATTATCAATGCTAAATGCACTCTTCCTTCTCTTCCTGCATCTCTCCTTTCCTCTATTTATCTTTCTCCCTGTCCCTCCTTCTCTCCTGTGCCCTCTCTCCTCATCTTCTTCTTATGTTCTATTTCTACTCCATCCTCTCTAAAGCAATATGGTTCAAACAAAGTCATTTCATAGGTGAAAAAACTGGGAGCCTAGAAACCCTTTACTCTCTTTTTTTAGACAGCTGTGTTTCTTTGATTAAGAAGTTCTCCATGGCAGCATTGCTATGACTAGTTTTTGTACTGCCTTAGGACTGATTTACTATGCTCTCCCTGACAGTATGGATTTTAAAAACTTGGCTACATTTCAGGCACCCCCTTCCCTTCAGTCACCACGATTGATAACTTCTTTCTAGGAGGCAATGTGTTTGGCTCTTCAGTGAAGCTTATCTTACATTATCATCTTAAAATATCGTAACTCCTGAGCACATGGGGCTTCTTGCATTTGTTTCAGAATGAAAAATAGAAAAACTTTTTTCTGACTTTCTCTGACTCTAGTGTAATGCTGTGTTGCTCCCTCTGGATTTCCACCTCGGGTACTAGGGAAGTTTGGCAGTTTTTGTTTTGTTTTAATTTGAGGCTGATTCTGAGTAGTTCTGGTTGCTGAACTTTAACCAAAATGACCCATGCCCCCTCAAGCCTGTACCATTAATCACCCAAACTGACAAGCACAAGTGCCCTGCATTTCCTCCACCACTCTGTCACAAGACAGATTTACAGTGACAGCACACCTCCAGGACCACACTTCAACAAAAGTGGACATGGTACATGTAATTTCCAGCCAGTGAGATTTCCATGCTGTCTATTGACATATTATATCATAGGCAGATTCTCATCAAGCCAACTTCCATTATTTATGTTTTAAAGTATGAAACATAGAGAAATTTGTGTTTAGGCAAGTTCCCCAAGTATAATTTCTATCCAAGACTGAGGTGGCTTAGTTCTGTCTGGCATCCAAACTCATCAATAATGATAAAATTTAGTCATATATGTTCTATGTTATTTGTAATGCAAATGTTCTCTATTTTCTAATTATAACATTAAGATAAATGTGCAGTCTATAGAACATATATTATAAACCTTCAAAACATTTAATACTTAATAATTCTTTGAGAAATTAATACAATGACCTTTGATCAATTTTACCCCTCACTCATTCTCGTAACTCCTCCAACACACATCCCCATCTCCCTACCCAATCCAACTTCATGCCTATTTTTCTAGCTTTTGAGATTATAACATAGTCATATAATTTCCCCATGTCCTTTTTCTTCATATGTCCCTATCCCCTTCCTCTCTCCAACCTCCCCTACACCCCATATATCTTCCGTTGCTCTCTTTCGAGGTCTTAAACTATATACAAAAGACTACTGGTAGCTAATGAATGCTGAGAGTAGAAGAAATAGTTTTCATGACATTTTTTTTCAATGATCCACTGAAGCCAGTTTGTACTGTCTACATACTCTTGGGTGATAGATAATTCACTGGAGTGTGGTCAGCCTACCAGTAACTATCAATTTAATGAAAACTGACTCCCACATCTCCAGAAGTGAGTCCTCAACTATTCATAGTGCCACAATTACGGTAGAGGTTCATGAATCATTCCCTCTTCTCAACAGAATGTTGACTGGCTTGATTTTATGCAGGCAAATGCAGTTGTTAAGAGTTCATAAGTTCAGTGTTCCTGTCATGTACAGAAAACACTACTCCATACTGGTCCTCCCAGACCTTTAGCTCTTACAATCTTTTGTGCTCCTCCTCTGCAAATATCCCCCAGCCTTGGGTACTGGTAATATAGGTGTCCCATTTAAGGCTAAACACTCCACTGAGACTAACTGTAAGTTATCAAGTAGACAATGCCTCCCTAGATTAATATAAGTTCAGTAGACTGTGATCTCCTTGGTTTTAACTAGATGAAAACCCTTGCTACATTTTATGTCCTCAGGGGGACTCATCACTGTATTTTGAAGAATAAAAAGTTTTTCCAATTTTAAGTTTTGATTCTCTTGATCCAAAGATATTTTGTTTCTCTCAAGTAAATACCTGGACCCCACCCATTTCCTTTCTCACAGTGTCTGGTAGTGGGGATAGTCTGTGTTTAAGATCAAAGCAAACAAACATGTAGGAACTTTGACTTTTATCTATTAGGGAGAAATTAAAGATGAAAGTCGACACAAAATGAACTCCAATTTACAATGTTGCTCTTAATTTTTAGTGGTAATTTAGTCTAAACTGGGAGGAAAGAGAATAGTAGACCATATTTATGGTCTCCAGATGTACATTAATTATTTACAAATCATCACCTTTGAAATTGGTAGTTCTATGACTTTAAGCAAGTATTTAACTAGGCCTCAATACCACCTCTGCAGTGAGGAGCTTTGCCTCTGGTTGTGAAAAGGCAGAGGAGGGTAGTGAGAAGTGATCTTCTATTATGAACACTTAGGAAAAGATTTCCTGAGAAAGTAGCTTATGCTGTCTTCTGAAGAATAAACAGGAGTACCTCAAAGGGAATATTCCAGACAAATGTAAAGGCAAGTCAAAAGTTCCTAAGGCAGGAAGAAAGAACTTGTTGGGTGTTTTCAGTTTCCAAAAACTCAAAGGGAATGGAAGCTAGGACATAGTAAGAAAGTGGCAAACACCAGTGATTAATGCATCCCCAAAGACATTCATATCTAGTGTAGTCTCCTTTGCCCAGTCATTCTTCCATCATTCCATATTTCCTTTGCAAGAGTTCTACTTACATAGTTTTGTTATACATTCCATACTTACTTGCTTCAACATAACATCCATTAATGATTTCTATTTCACCAATACAAAAAAAATAGAACTTGATTCAAATCATTGGCATTTAATAAATATTGGATGAAAGGGTTAAAAACAAAATGGGTTACATTGATAAGAAAGATAAACAAAGGGTTTTATGTGACCTGAAATAACTTTGAGCCTTTAAATTCATGATGAGAAAATACTGAGTTTTAGCTTGAAGACAAGGCAGTCAGATTTGCCCTTAAAAGTAACCTCAAATATCATATCTGTGAGACTTGAGAGTTGGCTTTGTGGTTAGGAGCACTGGCTGCTCTGCCAGAGGACCTGGTTCAAACTCAGCATTCACATGACAGCTCATAATCATCCATGACTCCTATTCTGAGGAATCTGATACCCTTAGATAAGGAGAACACTTCGCCTGTGGGATGCTGGTTGAGGACAATTAGGATCCCAGAGAGTGGCTGGACCAATGGATACAGTCACAGTGCCAGAGACAATAATGAATGGTAAAGGAGCAATGTGGTTTTCAGGAATGAGGCTTGGAACAGGAGACAGCTGTTTCCAAGAGGGCACAGGCTGAGCTGGTTTTCAACAGTATTAATTAACATATTTTTGAGCCAAATTTCTCACTTTTAATGGAAGATGTGACTGAAAACCACAAAGGCTAGAATAAGCCCTAACGTGTTGAAATAGAAACAGAGATACTAGAGTGTATTCATGTTTAAAAGATGGATGGAAAATAGATTTATTGGCAGATAGATTATATGCAAGTAGATAGATGATAGATATATATAGCAGATTCTCTCTGTCTCTGTCTCTCTGTCTCTGTCTCTCTGTCTCTCTCTATCTCTCTATCTCTCTCTCTCCCCTCTCTCTCGTGCACAAAATCATGTTATCCTCAAAGATAATTAGATAATTTGACTTCTTCCTTTCCTATTTGTATTCCCTTGATGTTTCATATATAGAATATTTCCCCGTTTTTTCTTATGTTTGAATTAATGCCAAACTTGCAAATAATAGCAAAATATATTCAAGTCCTATAATTATAACTGATCCATAACATTTGTAAAACAAACAATATCTTAAAGTTCTTAGTGACTAGATTCTTTTCACTTATTTATAAAATATATTCAGAATCAGAAAATAACAATTGTATTTTTGAAGGCAGTAGCAACCAAAGTTAATTTTCTTGCTCTTTTTCGCCTTGTTTCTCCCCTGGCCAGGTTTCATATGTCAAAGCTATTGATATTTGGATGGCAGTATGCCTCCTTTTTGTGTTTTCAGCACTTCTGGAGTATGCAGCAGTGAATTTTGTATCAAGACAACACAAAGAACTTCTGAGATTTCGACGGAAGAGAAAGAATAAGGTAAGCAGTTACTTTTATTAGGTTTAATGGGATATCAATTTGCAATGCATAGCGATTTGTTGTGTGTGATGCAAATGTACAGGAGAGAAATTTGGGTTGGGGACTAAATGAAATGATATTCTCTCATTTTTGTTCAGTTGAAAAAATGTGCAAAGATCATTTCTGGGTGAAATCATAGTATTGAGTTATACTTGTGTAGCATATCTGGTGCCATGATATGCTTTATCAAGGGTCTTAAATATATTTCCAAGAACAATATCACTTATGCTTCAGTTGATAAATATTTCATCTCCTACTTGCAATGCTAGAGTATTCACGAAGGCATCTCTTAATGCAGACATAAGATTTAATTATAAAACTTGTTCTTTTTTCTGAGCTAATTGATTGTTTCCATAAAATATCATATAAATATTATGATGATGAGTTCATGCAGTATAATTTTCTTCTTATGCTCATTTTCATATTTAAACATTTTGTTCTGGTACATTCTGGTAAACAAAAAGTAAATGCTATTGCTGCCTTGGTAATATCTGATCAAAGATGGACACCCAAGAAAATGCATTAGGAGCATTAGGAAGTCATAGAAAGTTGTGGAAGGAGCATGCTAGCTGAATTTGGTTGTCTACAATGTGTTTGTTCTGCCGTTAAAACCTGTTAAGACATCTTCCTTTATGGATAACATGATTTTGAGTAACCTTCTTTCCTTTATAAAAACAGAATTTCTCTCAACAGTAGATCTATTGTTTACTTATTACCATGTAAATGTGCCAACTGACAACTTAAAGGAAAACCTTTGTTCAACACAACACTGTCAGAATCATATAAAAGTATTGCCACAGTCCTACATAATGAGACATTTAAATAAAAAAAAACCTTAAGGACAATGGTCTGGCTTATATGGTATAAAATGTTAATGATTTTTAAAGGATTAATGGTTTATTAATTATTTACTGTTTACATTTATTAAACATTTTAAAGCAAAAGAAGCTCTGTCTCAGCTTAAGTGCACTTAATATTAAATATATTCTAAGGCAACTGACTTCTAAAACTTATCAAAAACCCAATAAACATCCACAAATATTGTAGGAAAGGGGAATTAGCACTGAGACAATATCATACTGGACATAAAGCAGCACTCAGTTTTCCATTTGTTAAGTTTGCATGGAAACAAAACAGTATCATTCACCTGTTAAAATGCATTGTGATGAGGATATTAGCTTTCACATTGGCCTCCCACCTTCCCCTGGTCTTTGGTCAGTTACGGTTTTGTCCTCCTCTTACTCCTGTTCTCTCTCCTCCTCCACTTCTTCCCCCCCTCCCCTCCTCTTCCTTCCCTTCTTCCTGACTCATCCCCCTCCTCTTTCTCCTTTACCACTGCATTCCCCTCCTCCTCCCTTCCTGCTTCTCCCTGAATCTTCACCCCTTCCATCCCTTTCTCCTCATCACCTCTCTCACACAGACTTTTGCTGCCCTTTCTCTCCTGATTCTTAGACTGACGAAAACAGTTTGAGGCGTCCAAGGCTTCACAGGGCCGAAGCGCATGCCTTTCTTTCCTGCTGGTGACTGATAAGATTTTCCCGATCACTATTTTTTGTAATTCGGCAACACTCAGTTTCCTTACCATTCGTATTTGATTTTTACACTTTTCATTTCCATTTCTTTACTTGTTTTTGTCTTTCCTATCTGCTGTAGCACACCTCGACCACAGGCTACATAGGCTAGAAATGAGAAGTATCATGCATATGCTATCGAATAGGAAAAGACTGCTATGTCATCATCACTCCACCCTCAACAAAACTGATAATGAACCAGACCACAATTTAGATATTCAATTCTGATTCCTCTTTTCAAGAGAAATTTTGACTGAAGTGCTGCTTTCTTCAATTTTACCACATGTAGGAGTGAGATAAAAATATTTGATGTACTTGATGTCCATTACTGTTTAACTCACAGCAAAGATTAATGTGTTCAGAAACGGGTGTACCAGGAAAAATTAGAAAGAAATGCAATAATAATAATGGTTTATCATTCTCTCCTCACCACTTGAAATATTCAGGCAGCATATGTGACTAAGTATAATTAAAATTTAATGCAGAACAAAGCCACTTATTTTTAATTTAATGCTTTTAAATAGATACTTTGTATTTTTGAACATCAATGAATTGATACATATGTATGCTAAAATGGTGTGTGTGATTAAAGTCAATTGTGTAATTATAAGTGACTTGACTCTCTGGTTTCTCAATCCCTTTTGGTCCGCTTTACCTTCCCACAGACAGAAGCTTTTGCACTGGAGAAGTTTTACCGTTTCTCAGACACGGTAAATTGACTTTCTTAACTCTAAGTAGAGGAATGTGATCATCTTTAAAACGCAGACAGCACATTCTGCTCTGAGGCAGTGTTTGGTGGGGAAACACAGTCCCTTTCCTACTTAAAGCTAAGCAAACATCATTTCTCTTTAGCTAGGAACAGTCATCTCTTCTAGGAGTTATACTCTTGTCTTTCCCTGCTCAATGAAAGGCTAAGTTAGGATTCATTTATTCATAGTTAAATATAACTGGTCAAAGTGATTTTAAACATATATATTTTAAAATATTATATATTTCTTACAGTGTTCATCACAGGGGAAAATCATAGAACTGGAAAAAATTAACTTAAAATATATGGGAGCTGTGTGTGGTGGAACACACTTTTAATCCCGGCACTAGGAAGGCAGAGACAGACAGATTTCTGAGTTAGAACCAGCCTAACCTACACACCAAATTCCAGATGAGGCAGACCTATAAAATGAGACCAGATTCACTAATGAATAAATAAATAACAATACATAAGCAAGAAAATAAATAGAAAACTTATTTATACACACAATTCTAAGAGCAGCTGTACAAGCAACCTGAGAATAAGGTTCAAAATGCTTTTGTGCTGTCTGTGTATCTTTAGAATATGTTCTTTATGAGATTATGTATAGACATTAACAAATTTGTTTTAACTAGAACACCTTTTCAAATTTATAAATTAAAATATATAGATATATCACAAAGACACACATCCAAACATGATGTGTAAATATCTAAGAAGGAAATTTACAGTATTGGTCTACAGGTGTTTTATAATTGTACCAGAGGCAAATATTTTGTCTGAGAAATTGCATTATAAATAGTATAGTTTGCTAAACTGGAATTTTGGGGTAAATTATATTTTAAAGCAGCTCCCAAGATGCATTCTGCTGTGTGTTCTTAATGTCCCCAGTTAAGAATCTTGCAAATGAAATAACATTAAATGAAGCCTTTTACCATTTCAAATTTTCTTCCATACTATTTTGACCCAGTACTACTTTAAAGTACTGTATTGACTAGTTTCATGTCAACTCGACACAAACTAGAACCATCCGAAAGTAGGTAACCTCAACTGAGAAATATGCCTCCATGAGATCAAGCTATTGGATGTTTTTTTAATTAGTGATCCATGTGGGAGAGCCCAACCCATTGTGGATGGTGCTGCACTGTGGTGGTGGTCCTAGGTTCTAGGTGAAGCAGGCTGAACAAGCCACGCGGAGCAAGCCAATTAAGCAGCACCCCTTGGCCTCTGGAAGCTCCTGCTTCCAAATTCCTGTCCTGTTTGAGTTCCTATGCTGACATACTTCAGTGATGTGGAAGTAAAAGCCAAATAAACTCTTTCCTCCCCAATTTTGGCCATGGTGTTTCATCACAACAATAGAATTAACTAAGGCAAATACTTAAGTTCTCCTAGAATCTTCAGTCACTTAACTAGTTTACTTTGTTAGTCAAATTTATATGTCATTTTCCAATACCAATATTTATTGGTTTTATCTGTGAAAAAATGTCATATAACTTATTGGCTGTAACTATCCTATAAGCAATACTTTAATTTCATGAAATCTCAATAGTCAGATGTAACAATTTCAATATAGGGTCAAATACTTGCATACATATTAAAATATATAATAAGTAAGGAATTCATATGTAAAATCTGCATAATTTTTTATCATTGCTAACTTAAAGGATTTCAGAAACTATTTAATGAAAACTGGATATTCTATGAATTATGGCTTTCTAAAGATTTCTGATGAAATCTTACTCTTATCTCACAATCAATTATTTTCACCAGGAAAACAATATGGTAATGTAAACACTTTCTTTAGAAAAGCATGAATTTCCTGTTTTTAACAAGTAGGATAAGCATTGTACAAATCTGGAAGTGGTAACTTTAACTTTCATAAAATATTTTTGTCAAACCTGGGCAGACAAATTCTTTATCCTCTTAAACTACCTCTAAGCAATCTAAGTCTTAAAATCCACATATCAAAATAAAACAATATGAATAGAGTGTGTCCATTTTCACAAGCAACAATTTCCATGAGTTTCCATCCACATTCTAATTTGGAAGAATAGTCAAAGTAAACAAAATTGCTTCCTTACAGAAGGTTTGTTACAAGAAGAGATCCTGCATTAGTGCAGATGGAATTCTTAGAAATGTTTCATAATTTAGTATAGTATTGGCTTGACCTTGGTATGTAATATTTGGAATCACATATCTTTTCTTTTCTATTAGAGATGCAAAAGAACCCTTTGTCTATTTGTAAGAGTAAAAGTTTGCTCTTGTATCCAAATTTCCCCACCCCACACTGTCATTACCTGCTGTGTGCTGACTCCCACCTCGCCATGTCATAGACGCTATCTCCAGTGCTGAATGTGTGTGGGTGTATTATGCATGATATAAAAATATTTTGGTTAGAGGTTACTATTTTCATGTACGGAGAGATACAAAGACACTGTAGTATTTCCAACATGCATTACCTGTTGAGAGCTTTGAATGACATTGGACTGCTTCAACGCATTTCATGTAGCTTCCTTCACATTACAGTAGTGATGCAATGCTTTGGTAAGAGAAAATTCATTTTTGCAATATTCTAGAACCTCTGTCTCCTAAGTATTATCTGCATATGCAAATAAAATAGGAATGAGCTCGTATTATGACCAAAATTTGTGTTTGGCTAAGCCAATATCTATCTTTATATAATATATATAAAATAACAGCATTTTGAAAATTATAATAAAACATTAAAATACTTTTATTGTAAATGTATCTGTTGTCTTACTTTAAAATAGCTCAATATAACTTTTAAGACTAATATGTAAGCTATGTTTCTGTCTTGTGTTTTGTCAGGTCTACGTCTTAAAACAAATACAAACTATATGTGTAATGTGTTGGTTAAAAAGATGAAATCTCATGGCTGAAACTATATGGTATCCACATACATGAAGTCATTTAATGTGTTCCACTCTAGATTTATTTATGGCATATTCTAGAATTAACTTATTCTCTAAATAGGTATGACTTACAATTTTTATGTATACCTTTAAAAAGTGGTTTCTGAGTAATTAAACCCTAAAAGAATTCTTTTCTAAATCTTACCCTTATGAGGTATTGAAATTTTATCTTCTCAAGGAAAATAAAGATTTTGATTATTTTCTGAATTATTTGTAGTTTGTTAAGCAAACTACTCCTCTGGGGTTTATTTTGAATACTATTCATAAAACAATATTCAGTAATGTAGTGTAGGTCTGACAAGATGGTTCTGTAGGCAAGGGTACTTGCTATGGGGATAGATGAAGTCCTGGCCTGAGCTCTGTTCTCAGAACCAAAGTGAGGAGAGGACTGACTCCCCCAAATTGTCCTCTAATCTCCACACCTATGTCGTCCTATGGCACATCCTTGCCAACATACACACACAACACACACAGAATTAATAGGCAAACAGACAAATAGTTAAAAGGAGAAAACAAGTAATCTAATCCCATCTAACTTGAAATTAAAAAGTCATAATTGCCTCTATCCCAAAGTTAGCTAAAACAAACGTGCTGCTTTCCCACATGCCACCAGATCTAATCTTATAACTCTCAACAAATAATTACTGTTCACCACAAGAATTCAATCTACTATACCAGAACTAAGGATATTTTTTAAATGTTCTATGAGCATTTAAAAAATATTCTATTTTCACAATTCATCTAGATCCTTAGCATTCATCTTTAAAACTTCACATTTACCACTTGTTTGCCCCTCATTATTTTTGAATCAGCATTGAATACATCCAGCATGCACTCAGCTCTAAGGCTAAGCCATCTCTAATAAACACAAAGCTCAAACAATGTCATATCAACATCTGACTTTCAACTATGAAATAGTTTGATTGACCATACTTGTATCTTCTTAAGATTTATTTTTTGAAACAACACAGAAACATATAAAGGTATATTGCATAACATTTTGTACTAATTTTAAAAATACATTGCCATCTTTTATATGATTGCATACTTCTCTAAATGACAGTACCCCCCAATAAAATAAGAAATTGTTTTTTTAATTGCTAATGAATGCTGAATATTTTGTGATCGCTCAGTGGCAGTTTTCCTGTCTTCATCACTTTCACATTCAAAGTTTATATTTTTGATTCATCATTTTAAAGGCCCAGAATGAGATAGAAAGTTCATTCTGATTGTTCTGACCTCACAATATGATAACATATTATTCTGATGACAGAGGTGAGATTTAGTTGAAGGACTACATCTAAGCTACCCCTGTCAGCCTATTCTGTCATTTCAATTTATAGTATGTAGTTGCTAACTCATCCTTCAATGTGAGGCTCTAAACACAGTGAAAGGACGCTTAGAATTTTCACAGTGTAGTTCTGATGCAGTGTTACTAAAATAGTTTTGTCTGTTCTCAATTTAAAATGTTTTATAAAAAGTCTTTTTATGAAAAAAACATTATGGAGTAACTAAGTGGCATTTAAAATTTTTTCAATGTCTTCCTTTGAAACTGGATTAAGGAATAATAATGGAGTTTGTCTCCAGATAAATTAAACTAATATTTTCATTTTGCATTTTAAAAAGTCATATTGTATAGCTTATTTTAGTCCAGTCTACTTAATCTTTATTCTATATAGTCTGTATTTTCAAGTAACATGTCTTAATTTTATGATCACTAGATATTAGCAAATACACACAGAGTCTTTCAGTCTAATATTCACATGATTTTATAATTACTTTTGTGACATGCAGTTCACTATAATGTACAGTGAAGATATTTCAAAATATGAGTTATATTCAATAAATATTTGAGAAGTGATTGGACTAAGGACTGTTAATACCAAGATAAACATTTGCAAACACTTGATAATTTTGTCTCAGGATGGCCAAGTGGTCTAAGGCGCTATTCAAAACGCCTAATTTAAAGTAATATGTCACATCATATTCTAATTCAATAACCTAATAATTATAGCCTTCTAAGGCAGAT